ATCAAGAAAGCAGAAACAACACAAGCAAAGGTAAAGATACAAGCATTTTCAGACACAATGTAGTTTGATTCTATGAGAATCGAGTAAAAGAGGGGAAACTGTAGGAACTGGGACCAGAGAAGAAATTGGGATATAGATTATGTAAGAAGAGCTATAGTTCTCAGTAATTATTGATCTTGCTTCACTTCTCCCAAAAGACAACACTAGTTTACACCTTTATTTCAGAAATAAACAAAAGCTTTTATCAAGCACCCACTGAGTGTGTGAGTCAGAAGGTAGGTGCATAGCACATCCCATAAAAAAACAGAAAATGGTTATAGTTTCAAAAACTTTAATCAATTAGAGCACATGAAAGAAAAAGAACACCAATCCCTCCAATAAAAGGCTAAGTATGAATAATGCCAGAACTTTACAAAATTTTCTCATTATTTATTCTTCAGAGGAATAGGAAAATATCACATCTAATGGGAGAGAAAAGGGGCAGTTTTAAGAAGGTGTGGCATTTAAGGATATGCACAAAAGAGGGGTTGGACTTTGGTGTCTGGAGATGGAATATACAGCATCTTTCCATGTTTTAAGTGGAATACCACTATCTCTTTCTTTTCTTCAGCAACATAAAGCCATAAAATCTGTAATTATGCAATTTACAATAGAAGTTTGGTTAGGATTGTTAACATAGTTCAGGTTGTTTTTCCCAAAATCCTCTTTAAGATCCACCTTCAAATTAAATTAATAGTATGACTGAAACATGTTCTAACTTCCTGATATCAGAAGCCTACACCAGATGTGGCCTTAGCTGGCAAGGAGCCCTGATCTTTCTTGGGCAGGGACAACAAAATCTATCATCACATTAAATATTTACCCACACATTTTGAAAAATTTAAGACTAAATTACTTGTTTCAATTAAAAAAATTCAAACAATACATAGGATACATAGATTTGTGCTGATGATATTTCCATAATTCCTATTAAAACTGCATATTATGATGCATGAATTTAAAATGTCATTTGTAAATAAAAATGAAAAGTAAATGTTTAACAAAAAACTCTTCAGTTTGACTTGAATGCTATAAACTTTTCAATATAAAAGATGCTAACCAGCAGATAAGGTCATTTTCTATGCCAAACATACATTATTCAAGAGGACAGCACTAGCAGACCATGGTGACCTCAAGGAAGCCAGAAAGTGCAGCCTTGCATACTGCATTCCAAATGTAGGAGCAGAGAAAAAGTAACCGTGATGTTTGATTCTAGAGAGATGTATTTTCCTTAACCTTTGGTGCTCTGCTCAATATTAAGGGTTTCATTCTCCAGCAATCTTATTTCCCCCAGCTTCTCTTGCTCAGAATTTCTTCAGATAACAAGATATAAAAGATTTTCGTAGCAAAGAAGGGCAACTGGGAGACTAAGACCCAGCAGGAATTGAGGAAATGCAACATGATATAGGAGGAAAAACACAAGATTTTGAGAACAGAACTGGGTTTCATCCCAGCTCTGCCATTTAATGGTAGGGTGACCTTTCCAGGTAACTTGACTTAGTGATAAGCATCACCATTAAAGTGACTGACAATGCCCTCCCTGAGTTTGTAGAGAAGATTAAATGTGTTAAGATATTTGGAGCATCTTAGTTTACCACTGCACATGCCCTAGAAAGTCAGTAATACCAGTTCTTTCACTTTCCATGGAAATACAAATGTAGAAATCATAAGTATGCAAGTGATTTTTGAAAATACAACAATTGATATAATTACCAACCTTTATTTTCCCTTTTTAGTTTTCATGCTTGTTGATCCTCCATTTCCTTCTATAAAATCTCTTCCTTTAGGTACTTTTCTATCAGTTTCTTATCCTATATCTCAGATAATTACTTCCCTCTCCCTATTTTTTGCTCTTCTCTTTATGGAATATCATTAAATATTAGGTATTTTGGTATTCCTGAGGGTTCCATCCCAGTTCTCCTTCTCTATTTTAATGAATGACCTCATTTGTTTATATGGATTAATGTCAACGTTTACATCAATAGCTCCAAAATCTTAGCTCCTGTGATTCATATATTATTTGAGAATATCTAAATTGTCTTCAAGTTGATATATGAATCCAAACTCATCATCTTTTCTACCAAACCTAATCCTCTGTAACAGTCATCCAAAGTAAAACTGCAGATGTTTTATTTTTTTCTACTCCTTCACCTACAACAGTCAATCCATTACCATGTTCTGTTGATTCCATTTTCTAAATATCCCTGGGTTTTCCTCTCACTGTTTTCATTGCTATCACACTAGTTTTAATCCTCACAGCCATCTCTTCCATTAAAAAATTGATCCATTCATCTCCATGTCTAATCATTTTCCTTCATTATCCAATATGGAAGCCACTAACCACATGTGACTATTGAGCACTTGAAATTTCATGGCTAGTCTGAATTCAAATATGCTATACGTGTAAAATACACACACCAGATTTTGATGACATAATATGGAAAGGAAAATATAAAATATCACATTAATACTGTTTATATTGATTACATATTAAAATCATAACATTTGGGGTAAATTGGGTTAAATAAAACATTAACTTTATCTGTTTATTTCTACTTAAAAAAATTTAAGTATATAGGTGGATTATATTCTATTTTTATTAGATAGCACTGTTTAACCCCCTTATCCATTTTCTTGCCAGAGTCATCTTTCTAAGATACAAACTGGATTGTGTCATTCCTGTTTTAATCCTCTTGAGTAGGTTTTCAGTATCTTTGAAGCAGGGTTGCCTCATTATGCAATTCTAGAATACAATGAGAACAGCTCTACTTCCAGCGTACAACTCCACCTGTAAAACAAGCTTAAATTCTCTACCATGCCTTCAGAATCCTCTCAACTTATTTCACCATCTTTATCCCCATCACACCCTGCCCCAACATCAAACTCTGACCACTTTAGCCACACTTGGCTAGTTCAATTTCTGAGCAATCTATTCAGTTTTATGACCTTACACCATTTAATAATGCAGTTTTTAAAGACTGGAAATGCCCTTGTCTAAGCAATCACTTACTAATTATCAAGATGCAACTGAGACCTCAACTCTCTGGAAACGTTTTTCCTTCAAACCCCCTCCCAGGAGGAACCGATTACTTTCTTTTGTTTTTAGTAACAATTAGTACATGACTATATTTTGTACTTATTACTTATAAGGATTGGTTTATATAGATGTCTCATATTAGTATACCAAATGGCTCAGTTGAGAAACTATGATGTATTTCCTAAGCCCATTTTTTTGTCTATACCTATATTCTACTCAGCAGTCATATGATTACGCTCTTTTAGCAGAAAGATAAAGACTTGGCTGGGCCCAGAAAAGACATTGAGAACTCTGGCTTTAGTTGTAAAACTATAAATTCTTTGGAAGATAGAAAAATAGTTAGTTTTCATCTAACAACACAATGATATTCCCCCCCTTTTAGAAAATTATAATCTCATTCATGGAAAATAAAACATGCATTGGAAATACTATTTAAAAATTGTAAAATAACATTTAATCAAAATGGGCACAGTATTTTCTATAATAGACTAAACTAGATATTGTGTTGGAAAGTCCCTCTCTTCTAAGGACAGTGGGAAATAATCAGTCAGAACTTCTCAACCTTGTTTCTGGCATGTGAAGACATATCTAAAGAGAAAATGCATTCATGAGCAAAAGAGGAACCCAAACTATCTTCAAAGGGTTTCTAACTGACTCAGAGTTCATGTGGTTTACAAAAAAGCAGTTAATCCACCATATTTGCCTTTTAGCTTTAGCCTAGAATGATGGAGACAAATGTTATTCTCAGCAGAGTGGCTGACTGAGAATGGTTCCATCAGGATATGTAGTTGTTAGTTACTTAAGGATAGATTATAGTCTCTCACAGTCCTACAAACTTTTAGACCCATATCCTTCTGGTCCAGTGACAATTTTTAAAGAGTTTATTGGACAGTGGATAAGGCACTGAAGGACTTAATCAAATCAGACTTCTTGAACTAAGTACATACACCTTGGAACTCTAACTGGGGTAAAAGATGATGACTTAAGTTTCTATTGTGTGAAAATATGTAAGTTTTGTTGAACATAAGAAAATTCCAATTGTTATTTTCTTATTCTATTGATTATAAAAATTGATAACACACATTTAATCAATACTTTTTATATATCAGGTATTATGTTAAGACTTTATGTGAATTATTTCACATGATTTTCCTTCATTTCCCATGAAATATATCATCAATTAGCATCAATTAGAGTTCTTGGATACAAGAACAAGCAGTATTACTTCAGTTACTTCTGCCTAATTAAGTAAAAAAAAATTTAATAAAAGAGATTTGGATCCTCTCTGATTTAACTGGAGCTGAAGGACCACCAATAATGGAAGCAGAAACAAACAAACAAAAATGACAGCATGAGGTTTGAGACGTCAGAAAGACAGAATCTGGACATTTGCAGAATGGTCCACTGAAGACGCCATTCTCCCCTACCATAGTTCAGTACATGACCTCCAATGATTCCCTTTATCCATTCACTCACTCCACTCACTCCAAGGCTAAAGTCTGAGAATAGAGATTCTGACTGGCCAAATGTAGGTCTTGCAGCCTCCCCCATGGCAGTAATAGAGTAGCAGAGGGAGGATCTGTCTCCTTCATCTTCCCATACATCATATAGGAAGTACCTTTCCACCAAAACTATACACTATAGGGGGGTGGGTAATATCCCCAAACAGAAAATTAAGGTGATATTACAAAGGAAATAGAAATGCAGAGAAATCAGAAATTACAAAGATTCACTATACTCTCCTCTTTGCTGCCCAGAATTCACATTTATATCTCATTCTTTCAAAAGTGCTCCAAGTTGACAAAGTAAAATTATCCCTCATAAAACTGAAAATAAACTCATCCTTTTCCCCCCAACATTAACTTTGGATTTCCAGCATCTTTGTACTGTGACTCAAAGATAACAAAGACTCCTTAAGCATAATCATTAAAAGAACCTGATTTTCAGTCTGTGTGTACTGCACAAATATAGGAATTTGAGCTTATCAATGCTTTTCTTTAGTCCATTCAGAATTATCAATGATACCACTCCAGCTGCAGTTCCTGAATTCTCCACAGCCTTCATAATATTGTCTATAGAAGCTATGTGTTATCAGAGAGACTTATCTTCCAAGTACGCTCTGTTGTAGGTGATAATGTATTTGTTTTTTTCCACCACAGAGAACAAAGTTGCCAGATTCTCCTCCCAAAATGCAAATAGTAGTTTTGCCACTTTATAACTCCATCTTGGTTAAATAAAGAATAAAAAATTACCCAGATTTGCCTGAGGGTCTTTGGCCCAACATCCAATTTTTCATTGGCTCCTCTGATTCCACAATAGGAAGAACAAAATTATGGCTGAGTTTTAAAAAGATGGAGAAGAGAATTAGAAGGTTTTTAGAAGTCTGCAGAGTTAATGGAAATTGAAATCGTTGGTTTGAGAATAGACAGTAACTACCATATTTCCATATTGCTAATAAGCAGGGAACTCTGTCCTTCCTTGGTTGCAATGACTTACCATAGCTGCATAGGATGTCTCCAGAGGTATTCAGAGAGGTAACTGAGAATCTAGAGGACTTGATCCATTTGTTAACATGGAACCTTTGTCTCTTCAACATCTCATGACCACTGAAGTCTCTGCTTAATTCTTTAGCTTCTCAGCAACTGCTTTCTTCTTGCTTCTTTGAGTCTTGTCCTTGCACAAGCACTAAGAAGTTAGCCTTGAAGAAAAATTGTGAGAGAAGTGTCAGGTTTACTTTTCTCCAATTTCTCTCTCTCTGGGTTACTGACACTTTGAATTCTGGCTGCTTTGTACAGTTAAACTGTGGCAAGTTTCAGAATTTATGACTTTTAGCTTATTTTGTCTGCAGCAGAAATAAGCATATGTTTCAGGAGCAAAATGGAGGCAAATATGAGCCTTACCTCAAAGTTCTATCCCTTATCCTGGAATCTTAGCTCCTTAGTTCTACTGCGTTGGTTGTTCTCTGATGTTTCATCAGTTGATTTTATATTTTGTCCAGATTTCAAAAATATTGTTTTCAGGAGGATTAGTCTATTTGAAATTGCTCCATTATAGCCCAAAGGTGAAGACCTTCCAGTTGCTGAGTTTTATTTAGTTGTCTTTGAGAAAAAATAAATAATTCAGACTTTCTAATTGGGTTACATTATGGTTGGCAGAATCATCCACCAAGATAGCAGATATGGCAAGAAGAAAAGTTTTGGAAGGATGCATGTAGGGAGTGCTAACTAATAACAAGAGCTGATGTTTGGATTCCTTTCTCTGGTAGAAAAGTAAGTCACACATGTGGAGCACATACACACACTTTCAAGGAAACATAATGATATACTTTCTTTATGTGGACACCTGATGACACTATAGCAAATACCAGGATTTTCTACCACAAATCTCTGTATTTTGAGCATTGTCAAGAGTTCTAAGCAGTTTTCCTGAAATACTCAAACTTGCAAGCTCAAAGAATTTTCATATAATTCTGCCCAGTATAAAATTGTAACTTCATGGTCCTTCTAGGATAACTCTTTATGTGCCTTGGTTCAAAGTTTTGAGATAAGTTTATATTCTGGGAGAAAAAAGGTAAATGACATCTTTGATGGCTTATCTATGTTATTTGTTCTTGGCAGTTTAACTTTGGTCAATTTGATTTGGCAGAACAGAAATTCCAAAGCTCATAGAGCCTGGAAACAAAGATTTTTATACCTATTTACTGTTGCCTGATCCATGATCTTATCTTTATTTTGCTCATTAGATAATAAATTTTAAAACATATTGGTATCTTCAAAATTCAGGCTGCTTTCTCAGGTTATCTATAGTCTTCCCAATCTAAGTACTATCTTTTGACCAAAACTTTAATTAAAAAAAAAAAAGTGAGTCTGGAAAGATTTTTATATATTAAATTTGTCATATACTGAAAAGAGTTCACAGAGGTCTAGGGGGCAAAAATCTTTTCAAATGGATAACTGTTCCAAAGGTCATAAGGTATACACAGAGCCTTTAAACTAATTAGATTGAAAAGCTTGATTCAGCAAATGCAGTTTACTTACTACAAACCACATTTGACCTCCCCAAGCTTAGAAATGATTTCCATTACTTGTGACATTAGTATGATGCCTCTATAACTTTTCATCAATGTAAAAGGGCAAACCTTCAACCGTGGAAATGATCTATTGCACATCTCTTTACAATCATTAGCAAATGCATAAAATTCCTAAGCACTTAAAGTAGCATGTACTTACCTTTAAACTTGCTTTTTAAAAGGGAATTCTTAATCTCAGGAAACAAACTGAGGGTTGCTGGAGTGGTGGGGGGTGGGAGGGATGGGGTGGCTGGGTGATAGACATTGGGGAGGGTATGTGCTATGGTGAGCGCTGTGAATTGTGTAAGACTGTTGAATCACAGACCTGTACCTCTGAAACAAATAATACATTATATGTTAAAAAAAAAAAAAAAGAAGAAGAAGATAGCAGGAAGGGAAGAATGAAGGGGGAAAATCAGTGGAGGAGACAAACCATGAGAGATGATGGACTCTGAGAAACAAACTGAGGGTTCTAGAGGGGAGGGGGTGGGGGGATGGGTTAGCCTGGTGATGGGTATTAAACACATACTGGGGTAAAAGATGATGACTTAAGTTTCTATTGTGTGAAAATATGTAAGTTTTGTTGAACATAAGAAAATTGCACATACTGCATGGAGCACTGGGTGTTATACGCAAACAATGAATCATGGAACACTACATCAAAAACTAATGATGTAATGTATGGTGAAAAAAATAAATAAATAAAAAATAAATAAATAAAAGGGAATATTTCCCTTCCTTAATATGTGAGTGCACTTCTAGCCTTGGGGACAAACAACACCATTGTGAAAATTATAAGCAAAGGGAATCAGTTTGTTTTCCTAATTTACTTTATAATTTTAACCATCTGAGCCACCCAGGCGCCCTACTTTATAATTTTAAATAAAAGTCACACTGCATATATCCTTTACAGAACCTGGAAGTTCAGTTAATACAATAGTTAACCATAAAAACAAATTATTTTTGTCAATATTGAAGCCGCTGCCTTGGCCTTTCCAGCCAACTTAGTAGTCTTCTAAGTTTTAGCAAGCACCTCTAGCCCTCATAACTAAACCATTCTTTGTATATCTGTAGATCATGCACTGTTTCCTAGAAAGACTCAGAATCAAATCCTCTTGCATTACCTCCTCCTCCCCACCCCCCAGGGACCAATATACACCTTCCAAGCACTACAATAATGTGTAGCTGGCCACTGCAATGAAGAAGTGTTATAGACTAAGATGCTCCCCTTTTACTGATTACCTGCCCTAAAGTTGCTTTAAAAATCTTTGGGCCAAGGGCGCCTGGGTGGCTCAGTTGTTTAAGCAACTGCCTTCAGCTCAGGTCGTGATCCTGGAGTCCTGGGATCAAGCCCCAGATCAGGCTCCCTGCTCAGCAGGGAGTCTGCTTCTCCCTCTGACTCTCCCCCCTCTCATGCTCTCTCTGTATTATTATCTCTCTCAATAAATAAATTCAAAAAAAAAATATTTGGGCCAAGCAGAAACCTTGGTTGGTTTTATTTTTTATTTTTTTAAAGATTCTATTTATTTATTTGACAGAGAGACACAGCAAGAGAGGGAACACAAGCAGAAGGAGTGGGAGAGGGAGAAGCAAGCTTCCCGCTGAGCAGGGAGCCCGATGCGGGGGCTCGATCCCAGGAACCTGGGATCATGATCTGAGCTCAAGGCAGCCGCTTAACGACTGAGCCACCCAGGCGCCTCGGAGTTGGTTTTTAGACAAGAGTCCACCTTCTCCCCAGGCGGCTGGCCTCCTGAACAAATTTCATATTCCTTTCCAATCAAAACTTGTCTCTTGATTATTGGCTTTTTCAGTGATGACAAACTGAACTTGGGTGTTTCAGTAACAATATTACATGTATCTAATTTATCTTAAATATGTAACTAGAAGCAGATGTAAAGACAAGAGAGGTAAAATTAAGAAGAGGTGGGTAAACAGAGAAGCAATTAGTCTTAATGTATATGTAGTTTAACTAAGCTATTTTATTTCTGTTCAAATTCCAACACATTACCACATAAATCATAGAAAGGTACAGTACATATTGAGAGAATACAAACCAAGTAAGGTGGCTGCCTGGCTCCCAATGGAGCCTGCTGAAGATTCTCTCTGCCCCTCCCCCCATGCTCTCTCTTTCACAAATAAATAAATAAATACATACATAAATAAAAAACCAGAGAGGGAGGCAAGCCATAAGAGACTCTTTAAACTATAGAGAACAAACTGAGGGTTGCTGGAGGGGAGGTGGGTGGGGAATGGGCTAGATGGGTGATGGGCATTAAAAAAGACACTTGTTGGGAGGAGCACTGGGTGTTATACGTAAGTGATGAATTACTAAATTCTACTCCTGAAGCAATACTACACTATATATTAACTAACTTTAATTTAAAAAAAAAAAATCTCTACTAAAAAATAAATAAATAAATAAATAAAATTCAATGGAGAACCAATTTGACCTGATGTCACTGGAGTTGAGTCACTTGCACTCAAGAGAGAAGAGGTCTCTGAATCCTACTAGCATAGTCCCAGAGGAGTCTTATGTCTCTGTTTTTAACTGACCTTCAATTCCATTAGCTACTCCAGTATATATGCTATAAACTATTTACTTTTTCCAAAGCCTTATATGCAACTAATAGGAATTCAACTATGAAGCTGGTAACAGGATGTTACCTCTTTTACCCACTTTCATACATGTATCACTCACTTATAGAGAGGTAGGATAGGGTATGATGAAGATAGTGATGATTTCTGTGATCTAGTCTCAACTCCAAAATTTGTTTAACTATGCAACCCTGGACAATATATAATTTTTCTGTGCCTCAGTTTTCTCACCTGTAAAATAGGACAATAATTCCATATACCTGATATAAGTGTTGGAATTAAGTGAGCTACCATAACTAAAGTGTTAGATTTAAAACTGCCACATAGAAAAAAATGTAGGAGTGTTATCTATTACTATTTCATAGCCATTGAGTCATAGGCACTGCAGGCTTGAGAGAAAAAGAGGATTCAGAGCTGGGGGCAGATCCAAAAGCAAAAAACAAAACAAACAAAACAAAAACAAAAAACAAAACAAAACAAAATAAAACAAAAACAAAAACAGCATAGGAACACTAAATGTTAGGGTTCTGGGGCAGATAATGCAAAGTAATTTCCACAGACAATGGTTTTTTATGGCAGAACCTCTTTTGAAAAGTCATGTACTTGTTTCCTAAAGTGGTCCTGCTTTTAAAGAATGTAGAATCTAAAAATCATGTGCTTTTCTCATGATGTGACACTGGAAAAGATAAACATATTATTTTATCCTGAATGGGAATTAAGCCTGTGAATCACTGAAATCAAGTGATACCATGCATGTCCTGGCTATTTAAGTTCCTTCATTTTCTTAAGGAAAATGAAGTAGAGATAGATATGTTTGAAAGAATTTCTACATTAAGATTGTGGCATGATGAAATTATGCCAAATAACAGGAAAAAAAATCCTTAACTGAAATATTAATAGAAGGAAAAATAGCCAATGACCCAGGAAACATAAGGCTGTAGACTGGTACCTAGCAACATGAATCCTTTATGAAAAGAAGAATTATTTTAAAACTTAAAAAAAGTCATTTAATAAAATACTCATAAAATGAAAGA